TAGGGTTTAGTTTAGGGTCTAAACTCCTTAAAGGGGGGTTATATAAGGCATTTTACAATCTTACGGGTGGTAGGAGGGCAAAAGGGAATACTAGCCCTAGATAATCCCTATATAATGTATTCCCTTATTCCCTATTAACCCCCAGTAAGTAATGTAGAGAGGTAGAGAGGTAGTGTGTAGGGTTAGAGCCCTAAACCGTAAACCCGAAGCCCTAAACCTTAAACCCCTAGACCGTACGCCCCCTAGAGCATTGCATGAGAGTCTGCTTTGAGTCAGTTGCTCTCTGCCGTGGCGTTTTAAGCTCAGGGTTGGTTCCCATTGTACTTGAGCCGATTTAGGGTTCAAGGTTTAGGGTTTAGGGTTTAGGGTTTGGTACGGGACAACCGAAGATACTATATAGGGATTATCCCCTTTTTCCCTACTAACCAACAGTAAGTGAAGCTTCATGGGACTTTAACACCAGTTATAACTGGGCTTATACCCCTACTTATAGTCGGGGTAGCCTCCCTAAGTCCCGTTGGGAGGGGTGTAGGTAGAGTTATAAGCTGAGTTAGAATAAATCCTAAATCCTAAACCCAAAGCCCCAACTCTCATGAACCCTCAAGTATTGGAACCAGTGGCAAAGTGTGCTGTTTCGGCAAGTTGTTATGAGTTTCACGTCCGGTGGCTTGAAGGCCCTGGTTTAGGGTTTTAGGGCTTATTGTTTAGGGTTTAGGGTTTAGGGTTTGGGTGACTAAACCTTACACCGTAAACCCTAAATCCCTCTTCTGTTTGCTGGCACTCCACAAGAGCTGATTTCTGAAATGGGAAGGTCATCCGTCTGACGGTGGAACAGGTAAACCGAAGGGTACCCTTGATGGACAAAATCCTGCACCGATAGGACCCCCCCAAGTGTTGCAATTGTTGGATTAGGATAGAATCAGAGGGTGGTGCAAGATTTCCTCGATGTACAGTAGCAACAGCACCGATTTGAGAGGCATGATTCCCCCACCTCCTAATGTGTGTGGGGTAAGGGTCACTTTGCTGCGGTCCGTGTAATGGGGATCATGGTGTTTGGCGGTCTATATTGTGGTCGCATTTATGCAAATTTCCATGTGCAACATATGTACTCGAGCAGCTCTATGGGAAACCTTCATGTTTGCTAAACCTTAAATGTGATCCTGCGAGGATTGCGCTTTGCATGGACGCTTCAGGGCCTGTCTTCATCAAGCCCCATTGCTGCAATTGCTGCCGTAATGTGAAAACTCATACGAGCTAGATTCCAAAGTCCTTAAAGGTTTGTTTTGGGTGATTTTCTAACCGCCTCTATTTGGGTTTAGGGTTCTAGGGGATTATATAGTGGATTCTTTAGGGGACTAATTATTACAGACTATTACAGGGGTTCTTGAGGGGGATACCAGGAGTTTAGACTACGGCTTATACAGTCGTGACTACGGTAGAAGTATGATGAATAATCACCGATGCTATTCAGGAACTAATCTCCTTTTTTTCCATAACATTTCAAAATTCAAAATACTCCGAGGCCATCAAAATTGCCATTATCCTGGCCTACCCTTACAATCCCTAGAATCAGCATGTAAGCCCAGTTTCCGTGTCATCTTCCATTTCCTTTCTTATTGTTTCCCCAGGATTCTACAAAAATGGGGCCCTAAAGCCTAGACCCTACATGGTAGTTTCCCTAAAAAGGGGGACCCCATTATAGACCCCAAAATACTAGGGTCCTTATTGTAGGGACCCCCAGTACGGTACCCCTAATATTGGGAAACCCTAATCCGTAGAATCCCCTACATAATAATCCCAGTTTCCATGTCATTTTCCACTTTCTTTTCCATCTGATTCTCCATTCTAGTACGTACCCCTAATGTTGGGACACCGCCCATGTAGACCACGTCATGATGCACTTCAGCTCAAAGCTTCACTTTTGACCAGTGAACTCTGAGGCTTGGGCAGTGGTTGTCATCGCGGAGAGACCCTTACTTAGATAGCAGAAGAACTTTAACCTCTTTGGGGCCTAAACCTTAAAATTCTGAAATCCTAACTCCCTAAACCCTAACCCTTTATTTGGGGAAGAGAGGACCTCTTCTCTGCGGAGCTTTGTGATGCCATGGGCGTGCTGCACGAACACGCGATTCGACCCAGAGGGGTGGGTTTTGGGATTTTGGGTTTAGGCTTTTCAGGTTTTGGGTTTAGGGTTTTGGGGTTTAGGGTTTTGGGGTTTTGGGTTTCAGGGTTTTGGGTCTAGGGGTTTAGGGTTTAGGGGAGTTTAGGGTTTAGGGTCTCTTGGGTTCCCCCCCCCTCCCCAAACTGCCTCCCTAGATAACCTCCCTGAAAAGCTTGAATTAGCCAGAATTACTCCCCCCAATATGGATTGCAGTAAGGTGGAACCTAGGGTGGTGTAGGCGAGCCTATGCTTGTAAGGACGTGCCCACCTTTTGATCAGGATGACTCATTGCATCCAGGAAGGTCACTGCCCTAGGCAGCTTCTCCACGCTTGGCTTCCGTATACGCTTTGGGGTTACGCCCTAAACCCTAAACCGCGTGGCTTTTTGTTTTCACCCCAGCTCAGCTCAGGTGAGCGCTAAGCCCTCAGCAGAAGACGCGGCACTGGTTCGGGCCATGGCGCCCAATGCCGATCTGAAGAGATGCTTGGCAGGGAGAGCAAGATTACCTGGGTTGCTGTTGAGCAACTTGAAATTAAGTTGCTGGAATAAGGAAGCACTATCATTTACTATATGCCCATGTTATGGTAAAGTCATTAAGTTTTTTTAAACAGCAACCCAGATTATCCGGAGGGCTAACAATTTACTGAGCTTGTTCCGAAATAGTCCATGCTAGGACTACCACTGTGGATGGACCAAATTTTGCACCATCCTAGATACCTTATACCCCAGGAATTACTGTATTACGGAGCCTGAACCTTAAACCCCTGAACCCCATTTAGGGTTTAGGGTTTAGGGACCCTATTCACATGGCTCGTCAGGAATTCTGGGTGCCGGTTGCATTGCCAGGGTCTATGAGGGAACTCTGGTTGGCCGGCCCGTCGCCATCAAGATTCGCCGCGACAATGTAGAGGAGTTCCTGCAATTGGACTTCCAGTTCTTGAGGCCCTACTTTGTGGATTCTGGGGTTATTCATGGGTTAGCTAACTTACTTTTACAGGCCTAAAAAGGGGTTATACTTCAGCTTATTGAGAGAGTATATAGTAAGACTTTACTAAACTTCATGCTCGCTGAAAGTAAACCCTAGATCCGTTTTCCCGAGCAATCTCACAACATGATGTTTTGTCAGAGCGTCCTCGCAGGAGTATCATTGGGATTTCAAAGGCTTTAGGGCATTCCCTGGGTTCAGAGACATCCTCAGATGAAATGCAGCTACAAAACCCTAACCCCTAATCCCTTTATATGCCCCTTAAACCCAAACCCTCAACCCACGATTTTGACAGGTTTGCCGCTAGTCTAGCAGAGACGTTATGGCCCAACCTCAAATGGTTGATGCTGCAGAGCGCTCTCCAGGATTTCAAGCAGTATATGCTGAGCCAGGTGGGGTTTTCTCAAAATTAGGGTATAGAGGGATATGTAGGGCTTAGGGGTTATATGAGGGTTATATACGTACATATTGTGTTTGGGGTTTTCCAAAGTTATGTGTCCTGCTAAAGGGGTTACAGGGGATATATGGGGATTATAGAAGTGTTTTGCAGGAATCTATAGGGTTTATGGTTTCCAAAAATTGGGGGCCGGCCTGTAGCAGGGATTCTAGTATATTGGGGTCTGTATTGGGTTGGCTTTTTTTGGGGGGGAAACTACCAGGTATCATCCTCAGATTTTGGGTGGCCAGGTAGCCAGGGCACATAATGCCGCTCTGGCTTGCTGACAGTAGCACAAACTAAAGTAGTATGCTTGGGGTTGGCGAAGAGGCACTCTTGTTGGCATTCTCAGTTTTTTTTGTTCTTTTCGGTCCTTCTTCTTTTTGCTTGGGCTTTCTTCTGATTGCTCTTCTTGTTCCCCTCACCTCCAGTCGCTGGTGCTATCGCAAGGTGGATTTCCGGCATGAGGCCAGCAACCTCCGGCGCTTTGCCGAGAATTTCCATCACAGCGCGGCGCAGGTTCCTAAGGTCTTTGCCGCCAGCGAACAGGTTTTGATCATGGAGCTAGTGGAAGCTTGCCTATAGGCTGTCCCTAAACCTCAACCCTAAACTCTTTTCTCCATCTACGGCAACAGGCCCGATTGACTTTTTGTTCGGAAATCCTGTACTGAACCGTGGCGATGGATACAAAATTTAGGGCTTAGGGCTCAGATGCTACAGACATCCAAGGAAGGGCAGTCATTGTCCACCTTCTTGCAGCAGGAGACAGACCCGGTGCTCCGGAAGAAGGTTTGGTCCATGCTCTCCGATCAGGCGGCTAAGATGGTTCTGGTTGATAACTTCTTACATGCCGACCTTCATCCAGGCAACATCTTGGTGACCATGGAGCCTGGCCCGCTGTTAAAGAACTTTAGATAAGTTATCATAAAACGGAAGCCCTTATTCTTTGCTACATACCCATGTTATGGTAATTTAATTCAAGTTCCTCAACA